AAATGCCTGGTGGCAGCAGCGGGTCTTTGGTATCTTTGACCTACAGCCAGAGCTACATGACAGTGTGTGACCTTCTGCACTGAGAGCTCAGGGTGTCCTTTAGGACTGTGACCAGGGTGGTTGTGGAGCAGCCTGGCCCTCTAGCCCCAGCATGGCAGTGATTTGGTGGGTCCAGGATTCTGATCCTGGGTTGGGTAACACCTGAATGCAGCTTGGCTCCTGGGAGCAGCAGATCCTGGCCCTCATGGAGCTGCAGCATCTCCCCGAGTCACTGTGGCCACGAGCTCTGGCTTTCAGGGATGCTGAAAGCATGTTCTCGGTCCTGAACAGTGTGTGTGGCACTGAGCACTGTGCCAGCAACAGCCTGCTCACGAGTGCTGCATTTTGGGGTGGGGGGGTCTGAGGGCACAGACACCCCAGCTTTTTGGGGTGCAGCACACACCAGGTGCAGCAGGGCAGTCTCCGGGAACTGCTCCTCCACCCTGCATGGGGAGGCTTGGATGGAGCACCTTGGAGCAGGTCAGTGTGGATCACCCTGCCTTCAGACCCACAGCAGGAGGTGGCTGTTGTGGGCTCTGGAGGAGCCATGCCGTGGGTGCACACGTGTGTCCTGCTTGAGTTGCTCACAGCCACGCACATGGTTGGAGCTCACCAGCTCCTGGCTGGATCCTGCAGCAGCGACACATGGAGTCTTGCTGCTCCCAGGGTCAGGGGACGGGGTTGGCACAGGACACAGCCATGGGTGACCAGAGCTCCTCTGGCCATGGTTCCTCTCAGACTCGATCCTCAGCTTTAATTCTGCTTCTTCTTGTCTTTCCTCTGGCTCCTCTCCTTGTACTGCAGAGGAACAGCAGAGAGGTACAGTACTGCACCCCAGCATGCCAGTGCTCCCTGCCTCCTCCGGCCCCCAGAAGTGCATGCCGAGGGAAGACTGGTGTCCCAAGGCACCCAGCATGGCCCTGGGACAAGGCTTGGTTTGGGAGCAGGGGGAAGGACACAGGTCCTGCTCGAGGGCAGTGCTTGCCTTGGATGCCGAGCCCCCTGTGGCACGGGGGAGTTCATGCCTTGTGTGCTCCTGGGCAGCAGCGGGAGTTGAGGAAGGGAGTGATGAGCATGAAAGTGCTATGGGTGCAGAGTGGTGTGACTTCTGCAGTGTGAGATGGGTCTCTGGAGTGTCCAGAGCACGGCACAGCCCCACATCTTCAGGATGCAGGCACCGGGAGTGCCTGGTGGCTGCAGAGGATGTGTGGGGGGGTGAGGTGCTGCCCCGGCCAGGTGGCATCTTGGCCTTCTCTGTGGGAGCAGGACAGGAGGTGCCGCATGTTCCCGATGGCTCTGTTGGTGCCTGGGGGCACACCCTCAGACGCTGCTTCCCCCCACGCTGCAGACACTTGTCCCTTTGCTGAGCCTGTCCGCATGTCCTGTGCTGCTGTAGCAGTCCTGCCCCACGCTCCCGTGTGACACTCACTCACCCTTCGTGCCCGTCCGCAGGTGTCGGTGCCGGCCAGGTGACGGGAGGTGGCTCAGGACCCGTCCAGGTGAAGGACTCGCCTCTTCTTCTCCAGCAAATCGATGCCCTGCAGCTTTCCATCAAGCACCTCAAGAACGAGAATAACCTGCTGAAGGTGAGGTGCCTGCAGCACTGAGGGGGTCCCAGGGCTCAGACACGGCTTATGTTGGGGGTGTTGAGCAGGAGAAGAGGGGAGAGCAAGGTGTGGGGTGACTGGGGGAGTGTGGTGCCATCACACAGGGCAGGGCCATTGCCCTGGGGGTGGGCAGAGCAGCCTGGGGCTCCTGCTGCTGCCAGCGGTGATGTGCTCCCTCCAACGCCGCAGAGCAGCTCTGCCCTCCACCCTGGGGGTTTCCTCGGTGTCAGGGTTTGACTCCAGCCAGCAGCTAGGATCATGCAGCCGTTCACTCGCTCCCCTCCCAGTAGGGTAGGGAGAGAAAAAAAAAGAGGAAAAAAATCCCAACCTTGTGGGTTGAGATAAAGACAGTTTAACAGAACAGTAATGGAAGAAGAAATAATAATAATGATAATGGTAAAAGACTATACAATTGCCCAGCCCATCCCAAGCAGCGTTGACAGACTCCTGCCCACTCCCACGTCCCAGCCAACTCCCACCTACGTGGGAGCCCTTGGTCTGGGCGCAGGGTGAGGGGCTGGGAGCTGGAGCGGCCGGCAGAGCCGGGGGTGCTGGTGCCAGCACTGCACAGCCTCGGTCCTCCTTCAGGGGGGGACTCCGGGTGCCCATCGATGCAGACTGATTAAGGCGTTTATTGATTAACGAACGCACTATGAGGAAATTGGCAAAGCGGCAAATAATCTAATTAACGGAATAGCATTCTGCTAATATCAATTCACAGACATGTAATTATGCAGATTATTATGCACAACTGCAAAGCTGTTAATGATAGCTTTTAAGTCTAATGAGTCACAGACGTGGCCACCGTTGAGTTACGGTTCTGTAAGTGCCAACCTGTTTCCCCCTTCCCAAGTCTTACCATGTGCTCAGCTGGTTGTCCAAGGGCTTTCCCTGGTGTCCCGGTGTGTTTGGGACATCGCTGCTCTCTGTGGGCATCTGTGCTCCCACCCTTGGAGGATCCACCCTCTGGTGGTTTTGGCTGTAGTTTTATGCCTTGTTTGTTTGTTTGTGCCCTTCTTTCTGCTGCCTTTACCTCTCATTTTCTCCTCAATTCCTCCCAAATAAACACCCCGCCCCTAATGACCTTCTCCCCATCGGTCCCAGGGAGCCCAGATGAAGATGGAGCTGGCCAGCCTGACGCCTCTGCAGGTACCCAAGATCTCCCTGCCCAAGAACAGGCAGGGAGAAGGTCTGGCCACACAAACGCTGTACCGCAAGACCAACCAGCTCCTGGAAACCCTCTACCAGATGAGCGCCAACGCCAAGGTTGTGGACATGAAGCAGACCAAGTCGAGTAGGTCCTACACAAATGTTCCTTGGCTGAAGCATCTGGGGAGCAGGGGGGTCATGGGCAGCTGTGAGTTTAAGGGAGCTTGGCCCACAGTCTGTGAGCAACCTCTGCATCTTCCCTCTGCCCTGGGGAGGGACCGGCACCTCCTTCCCATCCCGCCAGCATCCAGAGCAGGGTTTGCTCCAGGGCAGAGCTCCAGCCTACACGTTTAGATCTGCCTGTGAGGGATCTGCTCTGGTGGCAGTAATCCCGGGTTGCTCCCAGGCTTCCCTGCACAGTGGGGAATGGCCTTGTGTCCCCAAGAGGTGGCTGTCCCTGTCCCCCTGGCTGTGGGCAGGGACATCTGCATCTCTTGCCTCCTGTCTTCTGCAGCAAGGAGCTCTTCAGCACGGCTGTTGGAGCAGACGGCCCGCCTGTGGTCCCTCAAAAACACCATCGAGACCCTGAGGGTAAGGCAAGCTCCTGCCAGGGGCAGCTCTTCCAGCGAGGTGCTCCCCCCTTGCCCTTCCAAAACAAGCCTCTGGCTTGGGGTGTGAGGGGGCAAGGGGCTCTGTGGGGCAGCAGGGGGTTCTGGAGGTGACCCTGTTTGTGCTCTTTGCCCACCCCCCAGGATGACACGATGAGAGAGACGGTTCAGCAGCAGCTGGGTGCCAGCGTCCCCACCAACTTTGGCATCTTCCCTTCTTCCTCCTTCCTGAAGGTGAGACCCCAGGGCTGGAGGAGGTGGGTGGTGGGTCAGGAACCTCTCTGCTCCATCCCATCCCATGGGGCTGTCCTCGGCGGCAGGATGGGGTGGGGGGGGGAGAGGCACGGTCCTGGCTGCCCCCCCGCCCTGATGCCATCTCCTCTCTCTGTCGCAGGCCAAGCAGGAGCAGGAGGAGGGCATGGCGTACTACGGCAAAGTGACCTTCCCCTGCCCGCCGGGGCACAGCCAGGCCCACCGCCTGCTCCTCACTCCCGAGCTGCTCCGCAAGCTCCACAGCCACTTCGGCTCCTAAAGCCCCCCCCTCGCACAGACTGAGGGTCACGGCACCGAACCCGCCTCGTGTCAGATCGGAAG